GATAAGTTCTGGCTACAAATCCACTTTATCTGAAAATAAAGTAGCTACTTCTGCTCACTTTGGGGTTCCCATTGCATGGATACTGTTTTAAGTCCTTTGATTTTTGATCTATGAATTTCTTTGTTGATGAAATATGTTTCTTAAATGCAGCATACTATTGGGTTTTGTCTTTTGATGCAGTTGCCAATCTCTGCCTTTGACTGGGGAGTTGAGATCATTCACACTATAATTATTGAAAGGTATTGACTTATTCCTGTCATTGCATTATTTTCCAGTTGCTATTTTTTCTGCCTTCTGTTTAACTATTAACCTTACCTGATATATTTATTTCATTGAGTTTTTTTTTTTTTTTACATTGTGGTCTTCATTATCTCCTTTTTGGATATCCTAGAGAGTATTTTCAGTGCTAGATTGGTGGCCATGAACTTCTTTTCTTTTCTTTAGTACTGGAGATGGAACTCATGACCTAGCGCTTGCCAGGCAGGTGCTTATGCCATTGAGCTAAATCCCCAGCAGGCTATGAATTTTGTAAGATGTTCTTTGTCATGGAATAATCTTATTTACCCATCAATTTTGGAAGATAGTTTTGCAGGAAATATGAGGCTGGATTGGAAATTGTTTTCTTTCAGTGCTTAAAACACTTCAGTCCAAATTCTCCTGGATTTTAAGGTTTGTGTTGAGAACCTTGATGTAATTTCAGTGGGTATATCTTAATAAGGGATTTGTTACTTTTCTCTGATAGCTTTTAAGATTATGTCCTTGTGTTGGACTTCTGGGTTTTTGAGTATGAAATGCTGTGAAGAATTTCTTTTCTGATGGTGTCTATTTGGGGATCTGCATGCTTTCCCTATTTTCTTTCCCTATACTTGGAATGTTACAAGCTATCATTTCTATAAGCAGGTTTTTAATACTATATGTGCTGCCTTCTCATTTTTTCATTAATTCCAATTAATCTTAGATTAGTCTGCTTTGAATCATGCAGAAATAGTTGGGTCCACTTTTCATATCCTCTTATTTTAAATGTATCCCTGAATATAGCCTCCTGCATCAGCTTTACTTTCTAATTCTGATACTCTCTCCTCACACTGGTGACTTCTAGTGCCTATACTTTCAATAAAATTCTTTTGTCTCCTGAATTCATTTGTGGTCTGTTTCATGGACGCTAATATTTTGTTAAACTGGACATTCATGTTTTGCATAGTTTCATTTAGCTCAGCTAGCTTTTTATTCATGTTTTCTGTAAGCTCTAAGAGTCTTTCAGGTGTTCTGCTGAACACCTTGCTGTTCTGCTTTTTAAAATCATTTTTGGCTTTGATTTCCTCTCTATTGATACCTAGTGGTTCAGCTCTAGGTGAGCTGGAAACTTCTGGGAGCATTTTGTTGTCTTGTTTCATCACAGAAACACTTGGTTGCTAGAATGGACATCTCTTTGATTAGAGTCTGCTTTCCTGGGACGTGCTCCGGGATGGATAGTTATAGGCCTTTGCCTCTGCTCCAAGGTCTGCCTCACTTTGTTAACTTGGAGGGCAGAGGAAGCAGTGTAATTAGCACAGCACTCAGTTCTCTGGAAATGAACCACAGTGTTGATGATGACACAAAAACAAGATATTGGCATATAATAAAAATCCAGTTAACGGCAGCAACCATGCCACTCTGGTAATAGCAACAAAATCAGTAACAATAACACAGTTAGAGATAAACTGGATATTGACATATCATAAAAACCAGTAAAAGCTAACACCATATCGCTCAACTAGAAAAGAGATCTGTAATTATAATATAGACACAAAACAAAGGTTGACATACAGTAAATGTTTACTAAATGAGATTATACCACCAGAAACAATGGAAAAGAATTTAAGAATAACAGCATAGAGTCAACTAAATATCTAAAGATTAATAAAGCTTAGTCATAAAATGCAAGGGGTGAGAAAAAGGAAAATAAAAAAGGAAAAATTTGAAAAATAAAAAGGAAGTGATAAAAATGAGATAAAGGATTCTATGAAGAACTACAAGGAACTGAATATAATCAGATAAAAGTAACAGAAAATATAAGAAAAAGAAAATAAAGGAAATCAGCAAATAAAGACAAAAAGAAAAAAAATTTTAAAACCCCAAATCTTAAAAAAAAAAAAAAAAAAGCAATGAAGGAAAAAAGATATAAACCCCAAAATAATTCCTGTTGGCTTGAATGACTGCTTTCTTATCTGCAGCGTTAGACCCCATCAGATCTGGGGAAGAGACAGTGAGTTACTTTTATACCTATTTCACTTTCCAACTCCTATTTTTAGGTGTCATTACTGAATCCTGCCCTGAATTTCCTACTGGACCTGGTCAATCAAATAATGCTTACCCTGGGGCCATAGTCATTCCAGCAGCTCTCAGTTTCTGTGTCCCTCTGTGTGTCCAAGACACAGCTTTTCTCCCCCACCTTTATGGCCTTCAGATTTGGGAGTCCCCCTCCCCCCAGCCCCAGAGGCCCCTCCATCCCTGTACCCCGGTCTGTGGCAGCCGTCCAAGTGGAGCCGCACTCCTGATCATGTCGGTGGATGAGAAAGGCAAACTGACCATGAGCTCTGTGCTGGATGAAGGCAGGGGCTGAGGAAGGTCGGTCAGTCCACTGGACTCAATGCTAGCACTTTCAGACCCCCACTCCAAAGCTACTCATGGCAGATGGGGCTTCTCAGCCAGGAGGTGGGAGCCTGTGAACCTTCTTGGCCTGAGCTTGAACTTCTCAGGGGTCTATGTCTGGCCTGCGCCCTCTTCACAGCTGTCTCTTGTGGCTCCTACCCAGTCACTAAGGTTGTTTTGTGGTTGAGTCTCAAACAGTTAATCCTCCAACGGCTCCTGATTAAACCTTCTTGATCATGGTCAGTGCCACACTGGATTCCTTCTCTGACTCCAACCTGCCTTGCTGAAGGAGTCACTTTCGGCATAAAAACCCAGAGTGTTTTTGTCATTCACAGTAGTTACAGGCTTTCCTTGGGGCTAGCGCTGCTGGCCTGTCCTGCTGTCTCTCCCTGGAGCTGCCAACTCTCTCCAGGGTTCCTGTGTCTGCAGAGACAGGGCCCCGTGCTAGTTCCATCACTGTCATCCTCCAGGCTGCGTTCTTCTTTTCTTTGCATTATGCTCTATAGTTTCTAGTTTTCTCCTAACCTCCCTCCTGATTCCCAGAGATCAACTTCATTTTCTCTTTACCAAGTGGCTATTTTCCAGGTTTCTGGATTTCAGGTCCAGAAGAGGCTGTATTTTGCTCCCTGTCTGTTCTCTGCCAGTTTTAATCCTCCTTCCCATAAGCACTTAAAAAACAACAGCAACACAGGGTCAGATGCTTTTTCCTTATCTAGAAAGACTGTTTTTATTCTCCTTTGAACTAGCAAGGTAGAGAATTTCATTAAGAGTTTTGGCCAGATTCATCTCAATACATTATGCTGACTTCACGAACAGAATTATGGAGATTTCTCTAATTCTGTATTTTCTGCACATGTTTAAATAAGTTGGAATTGTATTTTCCTTTAAAGGTTTTGAGAGCAGTAACCTGTGAAACTGTTAGTTTTGCTTCCCCCACTCTTCCCTCCCATGAGTGTTGCTAAAGCAAACACCTCCTCCCTCATGTTTTCTGAAGGGAAAGAATTTTATAACGCATATTGTCATTGGTCCACATACACATCCCTTCTTGGCCTATATTTGTCATTTGCATTCACTTAGAAAATCATATTTTATTCAGGTTCACAGACTTTCTTTTTTTTTTTTTTTTTTTTGTCTTTTTCACAGACTTTCTTATAGTGAGTTGACAATTGCCCTGATTATTTTCCGTTTGTGTGTTCTGATTTTCTTCTCTCCACCCACTCCCTCTTGTTTCTCTTGATTTGAGGATTTAAGGACCCACAAGTGCAAACCTGAGCTGGACGGGCATTTGAGTGGCCCTAGTTTTAAGTGAGAGTTAAGAATCTTTAAAAAAAAGTCAGCAAAACAAAAGTATTTTAGCCCTTAGTAAGAAGAGCAGGTCATCATCCCTGGACTCAGCCTCCCCTTATGGTCACAGGGTCACCAGGGCGCTGAGGGAGGTGCCGTGTCTTCTGCTAGGTGGCAGCCTTTGCTTTGTGCATCTCCAGCTTTGTGTCTGAGAACAGTCTGGGAAAATGGGAGACACAAATCTTGGAAATAAAAATAAGCTTCCTTGCAAATTAATCTCCAGAGCCGGATGGACTAAAGAGGACAGCACATCATTAAGGCTGTTGTCACCAGTCCCCTGCACTGTGACCATTTTGATTCACACACTCACTGAGTATGCAGTATCTTAGTTACTTCTCTCATTGCTGAGACAAAATACCCAAAACCCAAAGTTAAAGGGAAGAAGGGTTTATTTCGCTCACAGTGTGTAGAATTTCCATTTATGGCTGAAATTGGCTCCAAGGCAGAGGGGCACCTGGCAAAGGGGAACCTGTATGTGGTGGTTCAAGGCTCTTCCTGTCCTTTATATAGTATGCAGCCTACCCGCCCTAGGTGTATATCTTTAATCCTAGCCAGAACTAGGCCAAACCTGTCAGTGGATTGATTTCCTAACTGCACATCTTTCATCCAAGCATCACACACTCTAGATTAAGCCCCCTCTGAAAAAGGCCTATGACTGCCTGAGGCTTCTGCCTCAAGGTGGGACCAGAGGGTCAGATGGCTGCTCTCCACCTATGGAGATGCCCAGGGCAGGTGTCACCTTCCTGGCAGAGTAGGAGCTCAGGGATGAGTGTTTATGGTCCTGGTGAGTTTGGGAGCGGGAGGCTTGGTCACTAAGAGGGACAGGAGAAGTGGGATGAGAGAAGGGGCCACAATGACTAACTCCTGGGCAGAGAACTGAAGGGGAAGGAGGTGAGAGGTGACCTGGCTGGTGAGGGTCTGATGTGAGGTAAAGGAGTGGAGGGGTCTTATGTAGGACCTGACCCCTAGGGAGATCCTGACCCCACCCAGCTGTTACAGCCCAGGCTGGGGCTTGTGTTTTCCAGGCTGTCTTCTGAGCGGCTCCCTCACTGTGAACGGCACTGTGGGGGGATCCCTGAGCGTGCAGTGCCAGTATGAGGAGCGATACGAGAAACTTGGCAAGTACTGGTGCAGAGACTCAGTTCTGCTATGTGATAAGATTGTGGAGACTACAGCTTCAAGCAGAGAAGCAAGGAAGGGCCGAGTGACCATCAGGGACCATCCAGCCAACCTCAGCTTCACGGTGACCTTGGAGAACCTCACGCTGCAGGATGCAGACTCCTACTGGTGTGGGATTAATGTACCATGGCAACAGGATCCGGACTTCAAGGTTAAGGTGTCTGTGCTCCCAGGTGAGTCCACTACTGCAGCCTAGCATGGCCCTAAAAGGCTCAGGTGGGGATAACTGGGGTAGGAATCAGAGCAGAGAATAGGAGCAAACTCCTGTGGTCAGGGAAGGTCAGGGACAGGGAGAGAGAGAGGCCTAGGGTGACAGGGAGCACCCTGGAGTCACTGGCAGTTTGGCACAGTCTCGAGGTAAGGTGTCTTTTTGTGACAGGAGGTTGAGAGCAGGGTGTGCAGAGTTGAGCCTCAGGAAAACAAAGCTGCTTGGAGGGAGGTGGGGGCTGAGCAGAGGGGCAGGTGAGGGTCAGGTGGTGACAGTGCTGCATGCAGAGGGAGCCTGGATAAGTGACAAATCAGCTTTGCAGTTAGACAAACAGCTCCAGCTGGAGCCACCTGGCCGTGGCTGGATAGAGACCAGACCAGGAAACAGAAGCAGACTCCAAGGCTCTTGGAGGTGCCCTGCCCCACCAGCAGGATGGAATGGGAACTGTTTGGGGCAGTTCCAGTTTTCTGCTAGCAAATGGTCTCTTGCTTCAAAAGTCCCCGGGAATATTTGGCCCTGGGGTTCCCCATCCTGCCCTCTTTATGAATAGTTGGTATGAAATCAAAGCAAAAGGAGTTGAGTAGAAGGAGAACTAGAGAAGAGACCTTGAGTCTGATTTGTGATTTTGCCCCAGCACCAACTTCAGAGAAACCCCCAAGTGTCCCTGTAGCCAGGACCTCAACAACCACAACCGAAGTCCCAGCTTCGTTTTTTACCAGCCTTGCGGGTGGCACTCACACCTTCAGCAGCCAGGAGAACCAGCAACATGTCCAGGACTCTTGGTAAGGATGCCCCGTGTGTGACCTGGAAAGGAAATTTCCTTCTCAGGAGGGGCTCAGGGCTCCGGGATATTGGGGCACAAGTTACACCCCTGCTGGATGGGACTTCCTGTGCCCTCTACTCCAGACCCAGGTTGGAAGCTGCAATCTGTGCATCCTCGCTGGGGTCACTGAGGGCACCCTGAGCCTGCCCCAGGCTGAAAGAGAGGGTGCAGGAAGGGGGAGGAGAGAGAATGAAAGGAAGGTAGCAGTGAATGGGGCTGGGAACGTCCTGCCATGAGTTGCCTCCTGCCCGCCCCATGGAAACCCTGAACTGTTACCACGCTCATTTTACGGATGAATAAACTAACGCTCAGAGATTATGCAATGTATTGGTCACATGGCTACAGGAAATAGGCCTGGGCTCGGAGTCACGTGACCCCAAAATCTTGGATTTTACCGGGGTCATCAACTCTGCAGAAAGGCTAACAACATTTGAAGATTCTTCCTAGAGAAATGCACTCAGCGGTAAATGATTTTTGGGATCCAGGTTCTTGCTCTGACCTCCAGGGCACTGCAGTTTGACCACAGCACTGATGGCTGGGAGTTAGGGCAGGCTCTGTATGTGAAAGACTCCGGCCACCATGAGACCCCTTGCGCAGATGCCACTGCACTTTGGGGAAGCCCAGGCCACTGCATTTCTGACAAACAGGTTACAGATTTGGGGTCCCCATGACTCCCTTGGGTCCAGTAATTCACTAGACTCTAAACTCTACAAAACACCACCTTCTAGTTTCATCATAAAGGAAGAAGATCAGGACCCACTGAGGGAAGACACAGGCAGCCCAAGGTCCGGGAGGGTCCCAGAGTTCCTGTACCCAGTCAGGTGGGATCAGGGCATGGGACCCCCTGTGTCTTTTCTCATCTTCTGTGTTCAGGCTGTTCCTGGGGTTTCACGATACTGGCAGGACTGGTTGAATCACTGGTCATGTGACTGAACTTATCTCCAGCCCCATTCTCGCCAGGGTGGTCAGAGGATGCTTCCATTGAGCAGCCCCATCTGTCATCTCGGAGCAGTCAGGTTGATCCAGGAACACTAAATGTGCTCCAATTACACGGGGTTCCCTCCCAGAGCCCCGGACAAGAGCCGCTCAGAGTCTCACTTCACACCCCGAGCCCTTCTGTACACTTCCTACCAAGCCAGAGTCACGATGTGGACATTGGAGAATCTGAAATTCAGACTTGAAGTGTGTCCTTTGCACAAGTTCACCCTGCAGATACCTATGGGAACCAGAGATCAGCTCTGCTAGAGCCTAAAGCTTTTGCAAATTGTGTGCAGGGCAGAAGGCATCTTTAAATGAAAAGGAGGGCTGGGGAGTGGCTCAGTGGCGGAGACCATGGCCAGCATGGACAGGGCCCCAGCAGTGCAATAAACAAACAAACAAACATTTAAAAGATAAGGAACTACAGACACACTCAGGCATGCAAGAAGAGGTCTGCTGTGAATCTGCTGCGGCTCGTCCACCCGTGGACTAGCAGAGCTGGGCAGTGATTCACCCCGGCAGAGTTTGTAATGCCATGAAAACTGAGGGAAACGCCAGGGAGAGGGGTCACAGAAGCCACAGTCTATGTGTGCCGCAGAATCCCACGCGGCTGTGGCACTTCCCTGTGTACTGAGGTGGAAAGAGCTCTAAGATGTCAAACCAGAACAGTGTTACCTCCTTCATGCGAAGAAAGAAGAGAAATAATATACTTTTGTACATTTCCACTACCACTTTTTTTTTCCTTTTTGTGATGCTAGGGGTGGAAAGCAGGACCCAGTACACCAGGCAATGCCAGGCAAGCACTGTACCACTCAGCTGCATCTCAGCTTTGTACACTCACGTTTGCTTGTCTATGAATAAAGCACCTGATGTTAGGGACACTATGCATATGTGGGAGGAACTGGAGGATGCATAGACTGGAAGTGCAGAGGAGAGACAGAATACTGTTTGCCTTTTCAAAAATTTGACTTACGTACATATTTGAAACGTCAAGGAAGGGCCAGGTGTGGTGGTACATGCCTGTAATCCCTGCACTTGGGAGGCCAAGGCAGGAAGATCACAGTGAGTTTGAGGCCAGCCTGGGTTACATAGTGAGCTCAAGACCAGTCTGAAGTACATAGCAAAGCCCTGTCTCAAAAAACCTAAAACAAACAAAAAAAGTCAGGGAAGCACTGGGGATGTTGCTCAGCAATAGAACATTTGCCTAGCAGGGACCAGGCCCCTAGTGTAACCCCCCAGGCACAACTGATTAACTAAATTAATTGATGGAACAAAAGTGCTGCCAGTCTAATGCCCCCTCACCCTGCCCATCTCCTTGCCAGGCTCTCTGTGCTGCTCTTCTTACTGGGGGTTTTGCTGCTTCTGTTGGTGGGGCTCTCCCTGCTGGCCTGGAGAATATTCCAGAAGCGAGTTAAAGGTGAGTGAGCTCCTGAGCCCCTCTGCCCCTGCCCCAGGGTGGTTTGTCCTGACCACAGTATCTCATTGTCAGCAATCTGGGTCCTGAGTCCTACAGGGGGCACTGACACGGAGGCTGACGCTCCAGAGCTGGAGTCCTGGGGGTGGCTCCCGGGAGGCGGAGGTCTTTCCTGCTGGATCTGGGGGTGTTATCCCATGGGGCAGTGCCCTCTTCTGTTTATAACGTTTGCATAGCTTTCCACACCCTCAGGGCTGCCAAGCACCCTGCTGTCTAGCCCTGCTCACTTCTCCTCACCCCATTTCTGGGTCTTGGAAGAATCCTTCCTTTTTTTCCTGTTTTATTTTGAGACAAATTCTTGCTGAGTTGCCTAGATTGGCCTCAAACACATGATCCTCCTGCCTCAGCCTCCCGAGTTCTGGGGTGATAGGCATGCACCACCATGAGAGGTAAAGGAAGGTCTCTTTCCATAACATTCGTCACCTGGCAGGATCCGAAACCCCAGGCTCTCCTGGGCTTGCTCTGACACCTGGGATGCCTGCCTGGACCCCAGGGCTGACCTCAGCCTTCCTCTCCTCTGAGTTCTTCTTTCTTCTTGTCCCCCTAAGCGTGTCTGGGGGGCCCTTCCTGGGTGTACAGCTGCCCCTCAGCATCACAGCCCTTTGGGAACTAGATGGCCACTGCCAGCCTCCCTGACTGCCTCTGCAGCAATCTGTGCTTCTCTGAAGGCCAGGGGTCATGGCCCACACTAGGTGGTATCTGTTGGGTTTCTGCTTCCTCTTTCCCATCTGCTTTTTTTTCTGTCATTTTCTGGAGTCTCATGCAGACACTGCTCTGCCTGAACTGCTGTGGTCTCAGCAGAATCCTCAGGGCCCTTTCACCCAGAAAGCCTGTTTCATTTTATTTTACTTTTTTTTTTTTTGGTGGTGGTGGTATTTGAGAGTGTGCCCAGGGTCTTTGCACTGAGCTATATCTCTGAGCTATGTCTCCATATCTCCAGCCCTTTTTAAAATTTTGAGTTACAATCTCACTAACTTGCTAAGTGGTTTAATGTGCTAGGTGGTTTATGCCTGGTTTAATGTGCTCTTTAACACGGTTAGCCACAAAAGCTACCCCAGGAAGCTCCAGGCATCCTGTAATCCTGTTTTCCTTTGAGCTCAGATTGTTAGAGGACATGCAAGTGGGGCCCCTGACACCACAGTCAGCACTCAGAAAACAGGTGCTTAGTAAACACCAGAGAGGTCCAGTAAGTACAGGACCTAGGTGTAACAACACACACCAATAACCTCCACACTCAGGAAGACTGAAGCAGGAGGATCACAAGTATGAACTCCATGTGGGCTGTAGGGAACCATTGAAGCTGGAGATTGATCACATGTATGAGGCTAAAACAAGACCTGGCCTAAAAACACAGCGGGCCCAAAGCAAGCCACCTAAGCAAGCTGTTCCAGCTCCAGGGGGGCAAGGGGCCCAAGTTGCTAGGCAGCAGCGGGGAGGGAAAGAATGGAGGGGAGGTGTTGGGGTGTCAGGGTGGTGGATGAAATTGACCTCATGCTTCAGAATGTATAAAGAAACCTGCTACAGTGGTTGAGCACTTCCTTTCCTCCCTTTAGGAGAGCAAGGGCTCCACCTGACCCCAGGTTTGTCCCTTATTTATTTTCTTATCCTCTTGAGTTCTTTCCCTAGGAACCGCAGGAGCCACATGGGTCCTTGCAGTGCATAACTCAGCAAGACTTTGTCTCAAAAAAAAAAAAATGAAAAAAGGAGCTCAGTGTTAGAGCACTTCTGGGCTCACTCACACATACACACATACGCACACGTAGAGGCATGTATGCACACACACACAGGCACGTGTGCACACACAGGCACAGAGGAACAAAGAAACAAGTTTCCACCCTGTGCTAGGAGCTCGTGATCCCAGGGGAGGAGGGGTCTCAGACAATCTTTGCTTACGGTGTCAAGGCCTCTGGGCCGCAGTGAGGTCCGGGTGGCAGAGGTGGGTTGCTCTGTCCACAGCTGCAGGCGGGGCTGGTGTGTGCTGCAGGAAACGGGGCAGGGTGTCACACGCACTTCCAGCACTGGGTGGAAGTCGGCCCAGCATGTCTGCATCTGATGTGGGGAACAAGGATCACTTCCTCTTCTCCATCTGCTGCTTTCTGTCACTTTCTGGAGTCTCACATGTCTGCTGCTCACCACGTGGGATTTCCCAGACTGGACTGCTTCAGTTCTGTGATCTCAGTGGACTCGTAGGTGCCCTTTCACCCAGAAAGCCTTTGGCTCCACCCACAGCTTCGTCGTCTTTCCAAGAGATATTCGATTGCTGGAGGGAACCTGAAAAGTAAGGAAAGCAAAAGGAAGGAAATAAATTCTCCTTACCTGAGTGAAGAGTAGCTAAAAATCCCACCCCCAGAGAAAACCAACCACTGAAGACCTGTTCCTTCCAAAATTTTTCTAGGCCTATGTATGCATTTATGATTTCTTACAGAATTCATTTTGTATTATGAATTCTTTTTTAGATCAGTAATTTTCCACCACCTTTTTTTAGGGGAGGGGGCGGGGATGTAACTCATGACCTTGCATTTGCCAGGCAGGATCTTGTGCTGCTGAGATAAACGCTCAGCCCTAAAATGGGTAATTTTGCACTTTGTATATTACACTATTTTCCCTATTAAATGTTCTGGAAATCACAGACCACAGAGTCTATAGGTAAATGAGCTCATTTTGCCTTGTCCTCAATACTGGGAGAAAGGATTTCCATTCAGACACCCCACACCTTTGTGCCTTGGTTTCTGAGTCCTCACCCCACTTCCTGACAATGTGCTGGGCCGTTTTCTCACCTTAAGCCTTGTTCCTCCAGCCTGAGCTTGCCGGCATCATCACACCCATTCCCGGCTCTTCCTTCAGCCTCCCTTGCCATTCATTCATTCATTCATTCATTCATTCATTCATTCACACAGCAAAGCTGTCCTGGCACCCGCTGTGTGCCAGGGCCCATTCTGGGCCTTGGGGATACCATGGTGACCAGGGTGGGCTGCATCTCCGCCTTCAGTGAGCTCCCTGTGCAGCCAGCTGCTCTCAGACCTCTCCACTGCTGTCTTCTTCCCCACCTTGAACCAGCGCTTCCCCACTGGCTCTTCCCCACTTCCCATCAAGCACCTGTCCAGGTGTGATGTGGAACGGCACGCCGTGTTAGGGACGTCATGTGTTCCCATCGCAGAGCACCCGGTTGCTGTTCTATTCCATCGGTAGGAGCTCAGCAAACACACTGGCTATTTGTGGACTTCTGTCCTCCAACTTTGGGCTCCTCCCCTGGGACTCTTGCCCCAAGGGAGTGTCTCTCTGTGACACGCAGGGCAATGGACTCTAGATTCCCTGGCCATGGACCCAGACCCAGGCATCAGGCTGTGTATGAGTTAGATGCTCACTGCTCCTGGGTCTCCAGACTGAAAGGGTCAGGGTGTACAGGAAGGCAGCAGGAAGGTGGCTGTGAGGGAGGGACAGACTCCAGGCTCAGGAGCTGGAGCAGATGTCCCTGGAAACTCCGCATGGTGCTGTCAGTCCTGGGTCTCTGCAAAGCCAGGTCCTCCTTTCTCTGCTGCCTCCTGCCTGCCCCACCGGGCATATAGGGGTCCCACCCCTGCCCTGCTTCGGGGATTCCATCTCCCTCTCCTCCATTTGTTTCTAGGTGGTGAACATTCAGGGCGAGCCCGGAACCCCAGGAAGGTAAGAGAGGCTCTGGCAGGAGGTGAATCTCCCCAGATGGGCTGACCAGGGAGTACTCATTGTCCGGAAAAGCACTGCAGGAAGGTTGGGGCCGGGCACGCACAGTATGGGGTGTCTACAGAGACCCAGGGATAGGAGGGGGCTCCTTGAACATCTCCCACTCACCACAGGCCGTTGAGCGGTGTGAGCTTTCCTACGCGAGCCTGCAGCTGCCCACGTGGTCCCTGAAGGAAGAGCCGGAGATGCCGAGGCAGGTGGAGGTGGAGTACAGCACAGTGGTGAGTGTGAGCACAGGACGCTGGCTTATGTGGAGAGTGAGAGTGCCAGAGAGAGAAAGGAGGGCCTGGCTCCAGGATAGCCGCCCAGAAGAGGGGCAAGTGTAAGTTTTGCCAGAGTGGAGGGCTTAGTGAAAGGGCTTAGTGTCATTGTGGCTGGAGGTGGGAAGATGGAAGGGCTTTGGGGTGGCCAGTTACTATGGCCCAATGGTCAATAAAGAACAGTGTTTATGAGGCACACTCAGGGTTAGAGCAAGTGATCTGTCCCTGTACCGGTCCCGTCATATCTTTGGTATCAACCTTACCTTTCAGGATTTTGTCCTTTACCTGGTGTGGGCCAACTCTTAAAGCAGGATCAATGGAACAGGCTGCAGCCTGGGCTCCTGCCCCGATGTGGCCCATCCTCTAGTGGGCAGGGGTTTTCAAGCAGAGGTGGGGGAGAGACGTAAGCCTCAGACAGAGCTGCCTCAGGGTCCTCCCAGCCCCACCCCCAGCCCGTGAGCCCACTGGGCCCATCTTGCATACATGAGTGAGGCCACGGAGGGATGAGGGCAAGGAATGGGTGTCTCCATTGCTGCTCTGCTCCTGGAAAGTTCCAGCACCGTGCAGAGGACCCTGTCCTACGTCATTTCCATGTCACGGAAAGTCCGGTGCCTCCCTGAGCTGCCAGCTGTCTGAGAAGCGGGAGGTGTGGCTTCACCCCCAGGCCACCTGAGCAGTTGTCAGTGTCTGTTTATACTTAGTGGCTTCTGGCCACGTGTCTGAGCCCGCACTTCTTCCTCACATAACATGTTATTAGGTCCACATGGTCACAGGGACCTGGGACCAACAAAGCTTGCTTGTGTAACTCAGCGACTGGTGATCTCAAAGTGGTGGGGGGCACAGTCTTACCCTTCAGCCCACCCCCTTGGGACGAGTTGGTATCTGTGTACACTGCACCTTGGAATCATTCAAGCTCTATCTAAAGGCCCAGGGTCCTGAGAAGCTGCTTCTGAGTGCTTTGAAAGGGTCTGCTTTGGAATCTTGGCCAGGATGGTCCTTCCAGGGGAAATAGAGATGTCTCTGGGGAGCCCCAAACTTCTGAAGGTCTCAGTCTCCTCCTTGTAGAACAGATCTGGTCACCCTTGGGGATCCCAGAGACCCCCTCGCTCCCCTCAGGGACTCTGAGCTGTAGCTTGACCAGGAAGGGTAGAGCAGGTAGGTGCAAAGGGTGGCTGGGCTGAGGCCTGGCAGGGGAAGAGGCCAGGACGGGGGCGGGGGGCGGGGGGCGCTGCAGCCCCACAACGAAGGCTTCTTTGGGAGTCACCTCTATCCTAAGCTGGGGGTGGTCCTTCTCTGCCTTCTCCTGAGCCTTGGATGTCTCTACAGGCATTCGCCCGGGAAGATCTTCACTACAGCTCAGTGGTATTCGATTCACAGATGCAAGACTCTAATGCCGATGGGGATTTCTCCCAGAGACCCAAAGAGGAAACAGAGTACAGCGAAGTCAGGAAGCCAAAGAACCGCCTTCTTAGCTCTTGTCCCCCTTAGCCTGCGCTCTCCATGGGGACCGACAGACAGCTGAGCTCCCAGCGAGCCGTCCCTCCCCTGCCCCAGCCCAGCCAGCTTCACTGAGGACAAGCAGGCCGCGGCTCTGCTGCACAGGGGGAAGCCTGCCCCACAGCCTCTTCCCTCCGCCCTGCTGCTTCTCCCCCATGTGTATGGAGGGTGCCATGGGACTCCAGAAGATGGTTCGACTCACACGGAGAGCCCGCAGGTAGCTTTGTAAACCACAGCCCCGTGGAAACACCCTCATTGCTGGGCAAGGAGAGAGAGCCCGCAGGTAGCTTTGTAAACCACAGCCCCGTGGAAACACCCTCATTGCTGGGCAAGGAGAGCTAAGGGACAGCAAAGGACAGGGACTTGTCCCTGTGCGAGGGTCACGGGGACAATCATCTCACAGATAAGGACGCTGAGGCTCACAGGAGAAGAGGCTGGCCCTTGATTTCAGAATTAGTGGCGACTTCCTCTGGACTCTTAGGGTTATGTTTAGAATGTGAGCATAAATAAAATTTAAACTATCTTCTTACATCAGACACACGCATGCATCCTGCTTTGTTTCTCTGGTTGTGAGAAACCAAAAGTGAACATAAGGATCAAAATGTATTTTGAAATAGGAGGAAAATGTTCAAATGGGGAGGGGAACAAAAGAGAGGGGAGTTGGAAAGAAAAGAAGGGGAGAGTTTTTTCAAAAAATGAGAAAAGAAGGAAAATATAGAGTCTTTATAAACAGGGAGGGGAGGAGGGGTTGAAGAAAGGTAGGAAAATGGGGGGCCACGCACAGGTACAAATTCCCTTGATGAATGTGGTCGTTACATACGACTAAGATGTACCAATAAAATCTAACATTAAAAAAAAGAAATGAAGTAAACTATCTTCTTAAAGGAGAAGAAAAAAGTGATGGAAATGATGCCTGCTGTGTGTGCCCCGTATTAAAGGGGGCGCCTGGCTCTGATGCCAGGGGAGCACAGAGAGGCCTTTTGTTTGTTCGAGATGGGGGTCTCACTGTGTAGTCCAGGCTGACCTTGAACTCACTATGTAGCCCACGCTGGTCTTGAACTCATGGTGATCCTTCTGCCTCAGCCTCCCAAGTGCTGGGACCACAGGTGTGCATCACCACACCTGGCTCACAGAGGAGCTTTGAGATACAAGGACTTGGGGACATCCCTCAAATTGTCACTGGGTGGGAGAGTGGTAAATTAAAAACTGGTGTTCAATTTATCACCCAGCTGAGCTGGATGGGTGTGGTGCAGGGTGTGGAGGGTCCGCCTGAGGACTGCTGCCAGCATGAAATGAAGACCTGGAGAGGGAAAAGTGCTGGTGTTCGGTGCTGCCAGGTTCTCCTGGAGGAGCTTGTCAAACTCCTTTCCTGATGTGAGCTTGGCTGTTCTCATCATCGGAGGAGCTCGGAACCTTGTTGTCCCTAAGAGTGGTGGCAGTTCATTTTGGGAGCTCTGGTCCTTACTTTGAGCATCGCTTCCTGGCTCCAGAGGGGAAGATGCTGTGCTGCTCAGTCTCCTGGAGTTGCTTGTCATGCTGGCTTCCTGATATGAACTCGGCTGTTCTCATCATCAGAGAAGGTCGGGTCTTCATTGTCTCTGAGGATGGCTTTCAGGGGAGCCCCGGCTCTTATTCTGAGTGTTGCTTCCTGGGTCCAATGCAGATCCCTCAGTCTACTGGCACAGATCCTTCATCCCACTGACACAGACTTTCTAACTTCCGCCACTGACCTTTGGGCCTTCCCTGTACAGATCTGTGCAACAGACTTGCGTAACTATTTTTGTTGTGGGCTGTAGGCCTCCAGTTGGACTTGTGAGAGGCATTGTCATGGGTGCTCGGTCTTCAGCCGGACTCATGCAGGACGTTGCCATGGGATGCAGGCCCTCAGCTGAATTCTTTGAGTCTTAGTGTGTGGACAGATTTCCTGGACTCTTTCTTTTGTATTTGACTCTCGATGATCATAAAATAATACTATAAATTGTGTGTCCTGTATTGTCTTGTTCCTTTCAAACCCTGACTACAACAGAGAGGGTCAGCTACTCCTCCCTCAGTGGAACACTCAGCAGAGTTCTTGCCAGGCAGACTCTCAGTTTGAAGCACATGTGACTCAGGCTGTCTTGAGCTTACAGTGGCACATGGCTTTAAAATCATAGTTGCTACTGGGCATGGTGGCACATTCCAGTAATCCCACAATTCCAGAAGGCTGAGGCAGGAGAACTATAAATTTGAGTCTAGGAAACTTGGTGACTTACTGAGCCCCTGGCTCAAAATTAGAAAACAGATCTGGGTGTGGCAGGGCATGCTTGTAATTCCAGTATCCAGAGGCTTAGGCAAGGAGGATCACTGTGGAATTCAAGGCCAGTCTGGGCTACATAGTAGTTCAGGGCCAGCCTACACTATATAGGAAAACCCCATCTCAAAACAAACAAATGAAATAAAAAAAAACAAAAATAATAGAAAAGGGCTGGGGATGGAGCTCAGTGTAAAGACCCTGGGTTCACTCCCAGTACCACAGAACAAAACAACAACCACCAAGGGCTGGGGATTTGGCTCAGCAGCGTAAGTGCCTGCCTGGCAAGCATGAGGTCATGAGTGAGTTCAATCCCCAGTACCAAAAAAAAAAAAAAAACAAAAAACTATAAGAACCAAACCAAAACAAAAAGAACCCCAAAACTTTGGTTTTAATGTTCAGCAATGCTTTGACCTTCTGTCTTTAGTAAATAAGTTAAAAGCAATGGCTTTGAGCATAGCCAAATGGTGCCAATGGGCATTCTCTGTGCCAGGGGTTTTGGAAGATTCTTTAGTGGGGAAGAGGTCTCCAAAGGGTGAAGAGGCGCTGCTCGGACTGGTGTCTTCTTTGGATTTTATTTCTGCATGTATGCACCCATGCGTGAGTCGTCCTGAATACTTTCTCCCCTCATTTTAGTGATATTCTGAGACACAAAAGGGGAAATACAAGCACATCACATGCAGGGTCACACAGGACACACACTTGCTGCAGTCAGATTGTGCTGTGTGGTCAGGGGCCAGAGGTCAATGACAAGAGCCAGGTGTGCAGTGTAGCTCTCTCCTGGCCTCGGCCCCATGCTGGTTGGTGAGCCTGAGCAAGGCTAAGGGCTCCTCTGTCTGAAGAAGAGCAGTGGGCACTGGGTCCCAGTTCCCCAAAGGAGGAAATGGAGAAGCAGTAGCCAAACATAACACAGACCTGGCCCTAGCACAGGGGAGGCCCTGGAGTGACCAAAACTGGGTTGTAAGCCGGAGGGAAGAGCAAGCTGCTTCTGGTGTGGGTTACTGATCGCCAGGAAAATCCAGGCTCCCAGCACACAGCTAAATTTAACTTTCCCCTGCCAAGGCTGTGGTTCTGCTTTCTCTTTCACTGGCTTACCTCTTTGCCTTCTTTCTGTCTTTCCATGTTGCCTGGAGCAGACTAGTCCAAAGGCAGCCTTTTTTCCTTCCTTCCCAAGCATCCATGGACAGCCTTCTCTATGCCAGGCAGTAGGCTGGACCCTGCAGGCCCAGGGACACAAGTGACACAGCTCTGCCCCACATGAATTCTCAGGCTCAGAGGGATATGGACATGATCCTTCTCCACCCACCTCCATTTGGGGTTATGGACACAGGAGAGAATGTTTCTATGGTGCTCATGTTTGATCTGTACAGGTGGGGGCTGGGTGCTGTGGAGTGCTATAGTAACTCTAGAAGCTGAGGCAGGAGGATTGCAAGTTTGAGGCCAGCCTGAGGAAGATCCTGTCTCAAAACAGAAAGGGCTAGGGGTTTAGCACAGTTGTAGAACATCTACTTATAGCATGACCAAGGCCCTAGGTTTAATTTCTGCTATTACCCCCACCCCAAGAAAAATACTTAACGGAAAATAACTCCTAAATACTTTGATTGGAGCCAAGGAAAAGAAAAGCTGGACCTTCCAGACTGAACCTGAGAGTGACCATCCAGGGTTGAAGGCATTCCTAAGGTACTGACTCCCGTTTCTTCTGTGCCCTGAGGTTGGAGTGCAGCAGGAAAAGTTATCAAGCATGGTGTGTTGAGCATCCCTGTGCAAAGCACTTTCTCTGTCAAAAGTAGCAAATCTGTGGGCAACTGTAAATTTCTCCTGGTTCTGGGGCTTGAACCCAGGTCCTAGGCACATGCTAGGCAAGGGCTATGCCACTGAGTCGCAGCCTCAGCCCAGTGGTAAATTTTGATGATGTTAGTTCTGGGTACTGATTGTCCTTGGGTGGGCGCATGTGTGTTTGTGTGTGTGTGTAGTTTTAAGGAGAGAGAAGAGTGAATGTTGTCAGAATCCACATGGAGTTCTTTATGTCCAGCTATAACAAAACGGAGTCTGGAGGTTATTGTGCTAATCCGTTTTGTATTGCTAGCACACGCCTGTAATCCCAGCACTCAGGAGGCCGAGGCTGGAGGATCGACAAGCATTCAAGGCAAGCCTGGGCTGTACAGTGAGTAGGACACCAGCCAGAACAACATAGTGAGACCCTGTCTCACAAAAACAAACAAACAACAGAATACCAAAGACCACGGAATCTATAAGAAAAAGGTTTATTTGGCTCATGGTTCTGAAGGCTGTGAAGTCCAAGGCTGAGAAACAGCATCTGGTGAAGGCCCATTTGCTAATGCAGTGCTCTCAGCAGAATCTGAAGTTCACGCAGGCATCACAGACGAGAGGGAGGCACAGCAGATGCAGAGCCAACCAGCTTTGCTAACACGCATGCCCTCGAGGTAACCCATTAACCCATTAACTATGACTTCATCACCTCTTAATACTTCACTGTAGGGATTAGAGCTCAGCATTCAAGGAAGTTCACACTTATGTTTGCCTGATGATGAGAACTATCACAAAAGACTCTTCCCAGACTACAACCTTGAACAAAAGGCACAGCAAAAACCACAGCCTTGCACAAAGGCCACCGGGGATGACGTGTACAGAAACTGCTTGCTCAACCTTGTTATCAGTGTCTCCAGGGAGGATAAGCACTCCATAGTCAGTTATTCATTTCCCCATTCCACCTCTAAAAGCTCTTGCCTTCCTTCACTGTCCTGGGAAAACATGGGGCCTCGTAATTCACCAAGGCCCAGGTGTCCTGCACCACAGTTCCCCACAAGCCCACCAAGCTCTTATCTTTCCAAAGCGTAGATGGGACTCTGGAGAGTCCCAACCTACCCAGGCTGTCTGTACAGGGGGTTCTGTGGTACTGAAGTTGACCGGGTAATGAGCTCCAGAGATGCCCAGGTCATCACCCCCAGAAACTGTGAATACATTTGTATGAGGCAGAAAGTATTTCACAGTGTGGCCATGGTGGATGTTGGGGGCTGGGTGCTGAGCCAGGATTACCCAGGTGAGCTCAGGGAAGTCCTGCCATCTGTAGGAAAGTGTAAGAGGGTTACTATGCCCAATATGATAAACAAAGGAAGAGCTAGAGGGTGAGGAAGAGGAGCAGGAAGCAGGTATCACCAGCGAGTTGAGGGTTCTTTCACCTGATGCGAAATCATGACAGAAATCATGAATTGGCAAAGTTCCGCACTGCTAGAGACTCTGGACTTTGAGCACCAGTGGCTCAGCCTTTAGTGTTACAGCTCTGGGCCTTGATTCTGCCCATCAACCCCAGCTAATGCCAGATGCCCGCAGTCAACACTGGAATCCTCGGTCAGCTCTGCTGGTTGCTAGCCTGTGCGATTGCTGACCTTTATTTTTCATCAGCTGATGGTCTGGGCAGCTCTTCAAGGCTAATAGCCTCTACTGTGTATAGCTCTTTTCAAGTAACCCATCCATCTACACCACTTGGGATAATCTCAAGTAGATTACAGGGCCTTCGGATCCCATACTGCCTGAAAAATCCCCACCACCATAGCAAGCCTTTACTTGAAAAGGACCTGTCCTGCTGCTCAGGGTCACTAATCAGAGGAAACCCTCCTAAACCACCAGACCAGTTAAAATGGGAGTGCTGTTTATATAACAGCTTCAGGCCTGTGATTGGCTTCTATCTAAGACTCCTGATTGGTCCAATTTTGAGCCATTATTAATCTATGTATAAACCCGCTGACTGGTCTAAACTCAGACCTTCTGATCTAAGCCTATTGATGATCCAAGTTTAATTCTACTGTTTGGTTCAAATTCAAACCCACCACAATCAGGGTAGATCCTTGGTCATCTGAGATAGCTGTGGCTGTCATAGTAACAGTTACATGGGCAAGCTGTTTGAAGCTGTGGGATCTCCAGAAAAACAGTGACACCAAAAATTGGGGAATGTCCTTGATGGCTGTGTTAATGAAGCTCCCTAGGGTTTGTGGAGGTTAGCAATGTTGGCCATAAGACCAGGTCGCTGCCCAGTCTCTGCCATGTTGGAGGTCTGCTTCCTTCAAAGAGGCAGCAGTGTCTGGAATGGTAGGAGCAGGGAAGGTGGGCCATTGTGGCTGGCAGGGGAGCTCACCTGTCAGAGCAGCTGGGAGTCATGTGAAGTAACCCAAGGGATGTTGGCAGACACCGGAGTCGCAGTGCCTCCTCCAGGGATGATGGGTGAGCAAATGGAAGAGAGCAGCATGGGTGTGACAGCTGTTGACCAAGTCACATCCCTCTCTGGCTGTCATGAGAGAAAGGGGAGAGTCAAATGCTTCTTGTCTGTCTCAAAAGGAGGGATGGAGGGAGAGAGAGGGAGGATTGAAGATGCTTTGAAGATGGAGAAAAGCGTCAGGAGCCAGCAGCCTCTGGAACAATGAGAGAATTCTCTTCTGGAGCTTCCAGAAAGAGCACACCGGCACCTTGACCCAGGAATCTTAATTCCCAGACCCATAAGCTCATAATGGGTGTTGTGGCAAGCCACCAATTATAACCGCTGCTGTAGCTAAGGAAATGTAGCCAGCCCGGCATGAAAATTTCGGCCGCTGGCCAAAGGGGCAGACCCAGAACGCAGGAATGGGGACAGAAACGGGCATAGATAGAGCTGGCAGGTGGATGTGGCCTTCAGTGGTGA